TGGAGGAGAAGGGATTGCGGCGTGACCATCCCCCCTGGGGGGTGATTTCTCGCTTTCTGTCTCTATGTCTCTCTCTGTCTGTCTGGTGAGCGCATGCACCCTATAGCAAAAACCTCTCCAAAAAAAGAAAAAAAAAAAGACTTATTAAAAAAAAAATACATGTTGGGAAGTACTGTGAAATAGTGTGAGGATCCACCGGGTGCGTGTGCATGCGTGCCCAAGATTCCAAGAGGAGAATGGAGGGGAAGGGATTGCGGCGTGGCCATCCCACCTGGGGGGTGATTTCTCGCTTTCTGTCTCTCTGTCTCTCCCTATCTGTCTGGCGAGTGCACGTGTCTTATAGCAAAAACCTCTCAAAAAAAAAGAAAAAAGAAAAAGAAGAAGAAAGAAAAAAAGAAAAAGAAAAAGCTAAAGAAAAAAAGAAATGGCATGAGGCTCTATCATCTCTGTTTTTGGCACCCAGCTCCTACCCTAGCCCAGTCCTGCTGTATTTACCACCTAGAATACTAAGGGAATGTCCTACCTGGCCTCCCGCCTTCAGTCCTCATTGTTCATCCTCCACATCACTATTGTGCTCCTCAAGATGAATTCTAATCACATCACTCACATCATCTATTGTTCCTAAACCTTTGGTGGCTCCCTACTGCTCCCCAAAGTGTAAGCTTCTTCCCACATCAAATCCCAGCTCATCCTTCCACCTTACCCTTCCAACTGTCCAACCAGCTGTTCCCAGAACACACCCTGTGTTTTCTGCCTCCTTGCCTGTTCTTGTTATTCATCCTGCCTGGAATGCACCACCCACATCTCTGCCTCTTGAAATCCTAGAGAGTATTCAAGTCCTCTCCGGACCAGCATCTCTGCCAGAAAGGCTTTTCTTTCTTTCTGCTACCAAAATCTCTCCTTGCAACTTCCTGTTATTATGTGCCTCTCATTTGGCACTTCATCTTTTCATGCCCTATAGCAATTGGTACACCTGGTATGTTCCTTTATGACAATATAAGCCCTTAAAGGAACTGCCTTTTAGTCACCTTCATAATACTTACTGTACTGAGTAACAGGGGGACCTAAGCCCAGCCTGGTGGCACAGTTGGTAGTGACCTGCAGCAGTGTTGGAGGCCAACCATAGGTTATGGTCCCCTGGTCATCCTGAGAACATGCCAGATGTGTGTGTGTGCCCAAGACCCCAATGAGCTGAGCTAAGAGGAGAGAATCATGATGTGACAAGGCCCTGCTTCTCTCTCTCTTTCTCTCTCTCTGATGTCCATACATGTGCTCTCTATTGTGGATGAAAAGAAAAATTGTAAAAACTTCAAAATAGGGGGAGGGCCAGCTCCACGGCCTGATATTAAAGACCACTGGATTCCACATGGCTAACCCCGTGGTTTGGATTCTGGACCCGGAGGCTTGAGAAACATGCTGGGCATGTGTGATGTGTGCTCAAAGTCCTGAAAGGAGGGAGAAGCTGAGAAGGGATCTCAGTGTGACTATTTGCCATAGGTAGAAGCTTTCTCCTCTGCCTTTAGCAAAAAGAAAAAAAACAAAAACAATAGGGGACCTGGCATGTACTACGTATATGTAAATACTGAATTAAAATGGAGCAAATGGGAATACATGACGAGCCAGAGTCTCTACTAGGAGAAATAAGATAAACAGAGAGGCCCAAGAACAGCGCCTGGGGTGCGGGGGGCACTGACAGGATAAGAATGGTGGTAAAAGGGCCAGAGAGTGAGCATTTCAGAAAAGCCATCCCCCATCAGAGGCAGGAGACAAAGGCAGTGACTCACAGCTGACAGAGACACCAGCACTCGCTGGAACATGAAGGACGTGTCCGAGCGAATGTCATCCTCCAGGCTCCGTCCGTATTCTGGCAAGACAGTGGAAGAAGCCCCGTCAGGACAGAGTCCTGCCCTCTGCTGCGTCCCCCTCCCAGGTGCTCCAACCCCTCCAAGACCAGCCTGTCTCCCGAAGTACATCGTGAAGGTTTTCATCCCACACAGTTTTCCGAACGCTAAACTCTGGTAAGATAGCCAAGAGGAGTTTATTTTGTCATTACGGAGGAAATGAGATGTTCTGTTCCTTAAAATGGGAGTGGAGGCCAGCAGGTGGTGTGGCAGTTAAGGAGTTGAACTCCCACATGGCTGACTGGGTTCGAGTTTCAGACCTGGCAGCTTGCTTCTCACTTTCTCATTTTCGCTCCCTCTTTCTCTGTCCTTCTCTAATGAGCACATGTGCCCTATAGCAAATTAAAAATAATAATAATAATAATAAACTAAATTAAATAATTATTAAAAAACAAAAAACGGGGAGTGGAGAAGTCAGGGACCATGGTCCCCCTTTTATGGTTCCCACTGTCGGGGGGTCTGTTCTACCTGGCTCTCAGTGACTCAGAGCAGCAGTCGAATTGCCACTGCTGTGCCACAGAAGAAGGTAACCAGAGCAGAGCGTGAACATGGGTTTGGGGTCAGTACAGGGAAAGCAGACTGGGGCTGTCAAGCACAGGGCCTAGCTTGCATCATTTTCTCCCACATCTCTCACTTGGGAGGTTCCGAGAGGTTAGCCAAGGGAAGCTCCAACCCTTCCCAGCCCACAGGGGAGAAACCCTGTCCTGTGCAGCTGTGGGGATCCTGGTCCTTAGCCAAACTCCCAAGGCTTAGAGCCTCCTGCTCTGAACAGTTACCAACAAGCTCTCATTGTGTTTTCTTTCCACAAAAGTAATACATGTTGATTATGGAAAACTTGGGGGAAAATAAGGAAAATGGAGGGAGAAAAATATCTCTCTATAATCTCCTCACCCAGAAATAATAACCATTGATAACATCTCAGTGAGCATCTTCTCTCATTTTCCCATACATATGTTATTTTCCTTTCTTTAGAAAAATGCCATGGTCGGATTCTGTTTCCTGACACGTCTTTTTCATTTATCAATATGCCACACCGTGGAATGTAATTTAATAATACTTTTCAGCATTAGTCTTCATGACTACATAACAGTCCGAGGTGTGAGTGTACATACCTTTGTTTAGCTAATCTGCTACTGTTGGCATTTTTAGCTAATATAAACAATACGGGGGCTGGTGCCATGGCCTAGTGGTTAAGGGAACCAGATCCCACATGGCCAACCATGCAGTTCAAATCTCAGGCTTGAAAATCACACTGGGAACATGCGTGTGCGTGTCCCAAATCCCAAAGTAGAGGAGAAATGGAAAGGAAGGGATTGCAGTGTGATCACACCCCACTGGGTGGTGCTCTCTCTCTCTCTCTCTCTCTCTCTCTGGCAAGTGCATGCGCACTCTGGCAAAACAAAAACAAGACAATACTGAACAAACAGTATAGGATCTAAATTTCTGCACATTTTTTGTTATAGTTTTAGGGCAAAAAGGCATGCATTTTTGAAAAAGGCTCCTAAAGGTTTCTAAAAGGGAAATCAGTAGCTGCCATTCTGAGATGGTTGGAGGACACACAGTCCAGTCTGGAGAAAGCAGTTGAGCCAGACAGCCCTTCCAGTCACCTGCTGGATGGCTACAATCTGCTGGTGCCACCACTTTTTGATAAAAGAATTATCTACTTGATAATAAGGAACAACCGTCCAACCATCAAGGCAATGGAGCATTGTACTGGGTAGCCCGTGTGGAGTGGAGTCATCACCTGAGAAGTCTTAAAAAGTCCAGAGGCAGTCGTTTGCCTTCTTAGGGAACTACATGAAAGCAGAATGCCTACTGGCCAGTGTTTCCATGAGGAGAGTCTAGCCAGTGGATAACCACCTGCTGCTCGTTTCTTTCTCAAGTCCCAGCAAACCTCAGCCTGGGCCACTGAAGATGTTACATACGCTGCTGGTAGGTCTGGTTTATGCGCTGGATCTCCTCGGGGGACCGGGAGGCTAGGATCTCAATCAGGCAGCCCTCGTCTGTGCCAGCTCCCTAAACACGAAACCAGAAGAGAGAGTGGTATTAGCCAGTTTACAGAGTTGAGTTTCAGACACAGAAAGACTACAGCCATGAATATGCAGAGTATAGACCGCCCACTGGGTTCATGCAATAGGATTTCATAACTTTTAATTGTCCTGTCCCAATCCAACATGTTCACCATAATCATTATTAGAAATAACAAATATATAGAGACTGCTTGCCATGTATAGTTTTTTTTAAAGATTCATTTATCTATTTATTAATTTCCATTCGTTATTATTATTTTTTAATTTGACTGAGAAAGAGAGAAAGGGAAAGTGAGAAAGCAAGCCACCAGGTGCAGGACTCAAACCATGGTCAGCCATGTGGGAATTCAATGCTCTTCACCACCACACCACCTGCTGGCCCCTCATGTATTGGTTATTGTACCAGATTAGGTACAATTTCTACCCTCTGGAGGCTTGATTTTTCCTTAATCTCCTCCATTCTCTTCCTCTGAAGGGCAGAATCTCTGGCAAAGGTTTTGGTACCTCTTTGCTTTTCTGGTGTCTAACCCAGAACTTCCCACCAGGTGAATATTTATTGACGTGGGTAAGAAGGACAATTGTATCTGTATTTCATACTTCATCATTAAAAATCAGCAAATCCTAGTCAGGGCACAGTGGAATGGTCATGAAGGCCAAGAACCCCTTTGCTCATTCAAAGCCTATAGCAGACTTGGAAGCCCCCAAGTATTAGTCATAAAGTTATAGAACTCAAAAGTGGCTAACATTGGCCAGCCATGGTGATGCAACATTAAGTCAATGCTCTGTGATGCTGAGGACACATGGGAAGGTCTCCGGAGTTTGCACCCCAAGGTCTCCCTATGCATGCCAGACACATGTGCATATGCCCCTGACCCAGCTGGCTAAGACTGAGGGTGGACTGCAGCATGAAGATCCTGTTGACAATGTCTTTTTCCCTCTGTGTCTTTCTCCCTCTCACACGGAAATAAAATAAAAGGGGGTCAGCTTCACAGCACAGTGCCTAAGCACAGTGCATTGGGAGCTAGATCCCACATAGACTATAGTTCAAATCCTGGACCTGACAGCTTGAAAATACACAAATAAGTGGTTGATCAAAATCCTAATGGGAAGGAGAAAAGGAGGAAGAATTGTGGTGTGACCATATCCCATTTTGGACTGCTCTCTTTCTCTTCATTGAGCATGCATGCCCTATGGCAATTAAAAAAAATTAATAAAAAAATTATAACAAAGTAGCTAATAGACCAGCCTGGGCATGGTGGTTAAGGTGGTTGGATCCCATATGGCTGACTGCACAGTGTGATCATGCCCCATTGGGCATGCCCAAAATCCCAGAAGGAGAATAGAGGAAAGACTGTGGTATGGCCATTCTTCCTTGGGGGTGCTTTCTCACTTTCCATCTGTGGAGAGCAGCTAATCTGAGCAAACATGGTTATCTTTAGATGCATGCAGAAACAAATGAGCTTCATTTGCAAAGCGATGAAAGCATTTGTATACAAAAAACGCTAATTGCCTGTTGTTGCCCATACTGCAAAGCACTATCAGGTTAAAGAAAGCCACACGTGTTTATCAGATTTTGCCTCAAAAAGGTCAGAGAAACTACATGGTGCCAATCTTCAGACAATTTACATCCAGAAACAACTGGCTTTGCATTCCATTTCCTCATCCCCCATTTTCTATCCCTTAAAAGAATAAACATGAGGCTGGTTGGAGGTCTCGGCTTTTCATGAGAGAAGGTGGGCCCACCTGATCCTCACTTTGCTTTACCTGCATGTCTTTGTGTGTTTATTTTTATGTTTATTTCTAATCCACAGCCTCCCCACTCAGAAAAGAGCATTTTGAGAGCAGGTCCCGCATCTTTCTCTTTCTGTCATATTTCTGGTGAGCACATGTCTTCTGGCAAATTAAATTAAAAAGTAGCTAATGTGACAAGAAAGTTTCTGGAACCGCACTGAAGTATAATTATAAATATAATCATCCCCATTAAAGCACAAACAGAAGTAAATAATTCCATACAGTTTTGAAAAAAAAATTTTACATTTAAAATTGTTATAATGTGGAACCAGCAGATGGTGAAATGGTTACATTGCTAGATTCCCAGGTAATTTTGACCATGGTTTGAGTCCCAGACCCTGTGGCTTACAACGCGTGCCTGGCATGCGTGCATGCATGCCCAAAATCATGAGAGAAGAATGCAGGAGAAGGGATTGTGGTGTGGCCATGCCCCCTGGGGGTGGGTGTTTTCTCACTTCTGTCTCTCTGGCAAGGGCACGTGCCCTGTAGCAAAAATTTCTCTAAAAAAAAAAAAAGTTATAATGTAATGTAATGAGAAAAAAATCTTCTATACTCTCTCCTCCCCACTTTCAGAAGACTTCTGTCACAGTTTCTGAGAAATCGCATCAGCATCTGCAGCAACTGCCCAAAGAGCCTTGGAGGACGTGCACCAACCTTCATGGCTCTTCGCAGCTCCTGCACGTCGTACAGCACAGTGGGCGTCATCATGCCCACGATCACCTGCTCGAAGTTGCCACTCAGTTCTGACTTCAAGTCATCTATCAAGTCCTGCAACACAAGAAAACAGCTCTGCTGAACTGCTCCGATCACTTAGGTCAGCCAGTCTCCAGGTGGTCCAAGGATGCCTGGGGTCTCCAAGACCCTTTCAGAGAGCCAGCAAGGACAAAACCAGCTTTTTGTCAAAACCGTTTTCTGTTTGGTTTGTTTGTTTCCAAGAACATGGTTAAACAAAGCAAAGGAGCCATTTTACAAAGCATAGGAGCACTTTGGAAATCTAGATTACAGGGAGGTCCTGCCCCCTGTTGCCCAACAAGGTCCCCTGCACCCACAGAGCTGGAGGGGGCTTACCCTGCCGATATTGGTCTTGTAGGCCGTCCTGATTTCCTGGCGCTGGGCCGTGTTGCGGTAGGCGAGGACTTTAATGATGCCGTCTTCATCGGTGCCTGGGGTGGAGCACAGACAGTGGGAGGGTGATGCGTGATCGAGCAATGAGAAAGTGGGCTCCTCTACAGACACTGGAGTTGCTTAAAAGCAGCTTCAGAGAGCTTTCTAGAAAACAAGTTCTTGCTCAGAGAGTTTATCTACTTTACTAACAGATACTGCTAAATTGAGTCTTAGTCTCTCCTTTAATTAGTATTTTATTATTTCTTTATTTATTTTTAGTTTTTGCTATAGGGTGTGTGTGCTTCTTGGGGCAGAGGAGAGAAATCACTCCCAAAGGGGATGGCCATCCCGCAATTCCTTTTCCATTCTCCACTTGGGATATATTTTTTTTTTAAGAGAGATTTTTGCTATAGGAGAGTGTGCTTGCCAAAAACAGAAAGACAGGGAGAGAAAAAGTGAGAAATCATGTCCTGGGTGGATGGCTATGCCACAAGTCTTTCTCCTCCATTCTCCTCTCAGGATTTAGGGCATGCGTGCACACATACCTGCTATGATTTTCAAGCCACTAGGTTTGGGAATTGAATTGCACAGTTGGCCGTGTGGGATCCAGCACCTTAATCTCCATGCCACCTGCTGGCCCTTAATTAGCTACTTTTAAAAATAATTATTTATTTTTATTTGTTATTATCATTATTTTCATTTGACCAGAGAGAGAGAAAAAAGGAAAGTGAGAAAGCAAGTCACCAGGTCTGAGATTTGACCCATGGGCAGCCACGTGGGAAGTCCAGCACCTTAACCACCAAACCACCTGCCAATCCTCTTAATTAGCTTTTTACAAGTGCACAGGGACTGTCAGGTGGCGTGAGGTTAAGGTGTTGGGCTCCCACATGGCTGACTGTGATTCAAGTCCTGGACCTTGCAGCTTGCTTTTTCTCTTTCTCTCTCACTAGTCACATTAAGATGAAAAAAAAAAAGTAATATAAATAAAAAAATAAACAAATAATTTTTAAAAATAGTGCACAAAACAGTTAACTTCTCTAAGCATTAGTTTCCTTATCAATCAATGTGAATGATCACAGGAGTTTCCCACACAAGACTACTGCAACTCATTTTTTGGGGGGCGGAGAGGAGAGGTTTTTGTTATAGGGCATGTGTACTCACCAGAAAGACAGAGATAGAGAGACAGAAAGTGAGAAATCACCCCCCAGGAGGGATGGCCATTCCTCAATCTCTTCTCCTCCATTCTCCTCTCAGGATCTTGGGCACACATGCACATGCTCCTGGAGTGAGCTTAAGCCACCAGGTTCAGGATTCAAACCATGGTCGACTACATGGGAGTCCAGCAACATAGCCATTACACCATCTGCTCGTTCTTACTATACTTGCTGTATACAGCAAGTATAAAATAAAATTAAATAAAATTAAATAAAATAATTAAGTGAGGTCAGCCCATGACCTGGTAGCTAAGGGAGCTGGATCCCACATGGCTGACTATGCAGTTTTAGACCTGTGGCTTAAAAATATGCTAGGTGTGTGTGCATGCATGTCCCAAATTCCAGCATGGAAAAGGGATTGTGGTGTGGGCATACCCTGTGGGGGATGGGATGGGGAGGTATTTCCTCTCCACCCCCCCATGGTGAGGGCATTTCTGACAAATGAATAAAAAAAGAGAAAGGTTAAAGGAACTACTTAGCACAAAGCCCAGCATTTAGCTAAACATTCAATAAATATGGACTGAGATAATTCTCTGTGGGAGTCTGTGCACCAGCGAATATTGCTGGTTTCTCAGAGAGCAATTACATAATGCCAAAGGCCATGATTGGCTCCCCTTCAAAGCCTCACCTTCAAAACCATACTCTGATTGGCCACTTCCCATAAAGGCCACAATTGGCTCCCCTTCAAAACCTCACCTTCAAAACCATACTCTGATTGGCCACTTCCCATAGCAAATTAGTGAGCTTAGAATCCCTCAGATTTGCATATCTGGCACCTCATGATTGGTCCACAAAAACAACCAATCATAACCCACCTTTTACAATCCTTCATTCAACCAATCACTGCCCACCAACATGTATATAACTGCGATCCCTGGCCCACATCCACCAGACAACACTGAAGACCCTGAAGACCCGTGACTCTGCATCATCTCCAGATGACCCTGAAGAGTTGTAACACTGTGTCGTCTCTGTGCTGCCCACAATAAATGGACGACCCTGAAGAGTTGTAACACTGCATCGTTTGTCCCGTCTCTCACTCCTTCCCTCAGGAAACCTGTTCGACTGTCCCCCGGGTCGGGACAATTCTCTTCCTCTGAAATTCTTTTCATATCTTTGGATCTCTTAAAGTCTTTTACATTGCTGCCTTTTCTTTCCTTTACCATTTCCTCTGAATTTTGAAACAACAAACTTGTCTCTTAACTCTGATTTGGCATTTTGCAAAGTTTAAATTGGTTGTTTATTGAGTTTTAGAATCTGTATTGTGTTTCTCATTTCCAATATATCTTTCCTGATCTCAAATGGTTCCCTTCTTATACTTGCTGACAAATGCCCTCATGGGCATCCCACCAACTTCCCACCAAAACTTGAAATTACGGATTTCAAATTAAAGTTTATCTTAATTTTGTCTGCCTATTTCTTGCAACTACTTTTACATGGAGACTTTATTCTGATTTCTCAAATTGGTCCCTCATCTTTGAAACTGCTGGATGTTCATGCATGCTTGGTGAATTACCTGACTCTTCATTGTTTATCTGCATGGGAGGTTATGATGAGTTACAGACATAATTCTATTGAAATGTTTCAGGGGGAAATAGAAAATATATAGGTTCACCATAGCTATTCTTTGCAAAATTAGAGATCTAGAAAAATGACAGCGGTCTGGAGGAAACTATAGAATTTTAAGTGTACATACTTAGGGACCGATTTTCTGTTGTAAAAAAGTGGAGGAGGGATAGATACAACCATCATTTTCTCCTCCAGAACTCTCAGCTAAGGAAAGAAGGTTTATCACTTTTTTAAAAAAAGGATTATTTTATTTATTTAACTTTATTTATTTATTTTAATTTGACTGGAGAGGAACAGAGAGCAAGAAAGCAAGCCAGCAGGTCCGGGACTCGAACCACAGTTGGCCATGTGGGAGTCCAGCACCCTTAACCACCACACCACCTGCCAGCCCTGGTTTAATACCTTTTGATCACCCTGTTTCTGTGAATGATACCACCCTTCCTCCAGTTAGCTAACTATGAAAGCTCAAAACAGTTTGCCTTTTAACCCTTTCGTTTCCTCCATATTCAAATTTCCTGCCAAGTTCATGCTCTACAACCTTTATTGCATCCGTTCCTTCTAACTCCTACTACTACTGCTCCAATTCAAAATGTTAGGGTTTCTTAGACAACTGCAAAAATCTGCTAACTAATATTTTACATCCTAATTGGTCTTCCTAGAGTCATGCCAGACTTAGTATTTATGACCCTAAAAAGAAAAATTCTCACACTATCTGTCCCACGCTCAGAAATACACAGGGGCTCTCCATCGTCCACTGGATTTACTATTTAGGCACTGCGGTGTGGCATGGACACTCTGCATGATCCCATTCACTATCGTAAACATCCACACTAAAGGATACCGAGTGGCCACATGCGCAGACTCAGCTCTTGTACAGCTACTTTGCCCACCTGTGCTGCTCCTATGCGTTTCTTTGTCCCAGGTCCCTCCGTTTAGCGTCATGATTCTGGCATTAGTTGTTTCCTGGTCCATGCCTTTGGGTCATCCTCTCTCGTCTGTGATACATACATAGGTGACTTTCTCAGCGTCCCAGGAGCTCCCTTTGGTACCTGCCTTCCCAAGAAGCATCCAACTAGCTAATTCTCATTTTGCAAGTACTTCCTGCTCTAAGCCACCTTTCCATGTACCTACTCGGATTGCCCTAGGCCTCAGAGCATGCTATTCCTTTCACCTGAAACTTCCTTTTTTAGAGTTTTGCCGTAGGGTGTACGCACTTACTGGAGAGACAGAGAGAGAGGGAAAGTGAAAAATCACCGCCCAGAGAGGATGGACAGGCCACAATCCCTCCTCCTCCATTCTCCTCTCAGGACTTTGGGCGTACATGCACATGTACCTGGTGTGTTTTTTTAAGTCTCCAGGTTCGGGACTTGAACCACGGAGTTGGCCGTGTGGGATCCAGCTGCCTTAACACATTGCTGGCCCAACACATTCTTTCTTAGCACTCTTTACTGAAACTCAACTCTTCTCCCAAGGCCCATCTAAGATTCTGCATCCTCCAAGGAGTTTTGCCTAATGTCCCCAAATGAAGTGTAACCCTCTCCTTGAGACCTGCTGGATCTTCTTTGTGCCCCTGCCATCACCGTATTTGGCTAAACTCTGTTATTTGAGATGGCCTTTGTCCTCAAATACCTGAGCTCCTGGAAACAAAACGCTCCCTCTAGTGGAAGTCCTAAGTTACAGCCAGTCACACCAGCCACACGTCAGTCAACCAGACAGCCCCTCCTTTAAACTGTGTTAAGGCAGGCAAACCTTCTGCTGTTAGCAATCCAATGATCTCTCTGCCTCATTCCCTCGCTTCCATTTTTTTTGCATGTCAATTTCTCTTTCTTGTACATAAATGTCACCCCACCAGGAGTTCTTTGGAAGTCGTTGTGGAGGCTGCCCAATTCAAATTCTTTTTGCTCAATTAAATCTGATAAAGTAAATTATATGAACTTTTTTAACTACCGCATGGTAATTTCTGAGCGTGCGTTTGCTGTGTTTGCATCTGTGTTTGACCACAAAGACCTGGTTTGAGAATCTTTGTCCCCCTGACAGTCTGCCTCACATTCGCCCACACAGAGCAGGCACTGAAAAAGGACAGCTTGTGCCAAAATGGCTCCCGACTCTTAAAAAATTCTGAATGCTATGTTCTGAATCACGTCCTGAATTAGGCCCATGTTCTGAATTACAGTGTCCTTGTTATGTATCAAAGAATCAGTATAAACTTGCAGGGCAGGGGGCAGATGCAAGACACTATTCATTTTATTTATGTGAAAGGGAAAATAAGGAGAAGGATACATAAATTCAGGACAATGTTCTGGAGTGTGTGTGTGTGTGTGTGTTGGGGGGGGGGGGGGGGGGCA